CCCCAGCACCCAAGGGCAGGGAGGAAAGCGGCCGCAGGTCACCGCAGGACCCCCCAGCGTCCCCCCTGCGGTGACGGGCATCCCTCCCACGCCGCCCTCCTCGGGGCACGGCCCTCCTGGGCCGCCCCCAGCAGCACCGCCAGCCCCACGCGTGGGCCGTGCCCCGCCGCAGAGCGCGGCGCCGGGTGTTCCCGCAGGTTTTACCCCCATCTAGTGGCGGGTCCCAACTTCACACGGGAGCTTCACCAGCAAGGAAAGGGTAGCCGAGGACTGGGGCGGGGCGGGGGGGCGGCAGCTTGGCTTCAGGCTGGGGCAGTCTGTCCTCCTCGCTTTTGGGGGGACGAGGTGACTACACGCAGGGCTGCGTCTGGGGTCTGCCCCGAGAGCAACCCATCTGCCAGGGGACCTGCTGGCGCAGGGTTAAGGGGTAGAAACAGACCTTATTAGCAGCTGAAATTAATTACAGGGGAGGGGAGGTTGCAGCACCCCCCAGCCCAGGGTCGCACCTTGGCAGGGGGAGGTCTCCGTCTTTGCAATTCCCTTCATGCTGCTGCTCCAAAGGAGACCCGGCAGAGCCCATCACCCGTGTGTCCTGGCAGCCAGCCCGGGGCTACATCCCAGGCACCTGGACAACCTGCAAAAGACGGTTCATCACGAAAGGGTCATGAACCATGGTTGCAATAAGGCCCCTGAGGCCATCGCCTTGTGGGTTACTGGCTGAATCGGCCCCGCTCCGCATCACCAACGCACGCTCAGGGGATACGAACTGTCAGGGAGGTCCGGAGATGTCCAGCTACCCCAGCAGCCTCAGTCATCTCTGCAGACAGGCATGTTGCAGCACGGAGGGGAAGGAAGAAGCTGCAGACAGCTGCTGCCGTTGTGGCTGCGTTCTGCCCGTTGCAGCACGTGCTTTAGCCTCGCGCCCAGGCACCATCACCGCTGCCTCCCACCCGGGGCAGGCAGCAGGCCCCAGCCTCCCCAGCTCCACTGACAGACCAGCTCCAAACCAGCCCCCGGCTGCCCCGTCCAACCAGCTCTGCCTGGAGCCACTGCAGGGAGACCCACGGGTGCGAGGAGCAGCTCAGTCCTGGGGGGACGAGGGTGCCCTTGGTGGTCACAGCCCAGAGCCGCACATGCAGACGGGTGCTGCCACCCACGCCGGGCCACTCCTGGTATGTTGTCACCCGTGCGGTGAGGGCGAGGCCAGTGACATGTGTGGCAGGATTGCAAAATGCAGTCTTGTGCAATGCCAGAGCTTTCTCCACGCTCATCTTTACATGGGTGCTTCACACCAGGCAGAGGACAGCCATTACCCTGTGCACAGAAGTACCCTCCCCCTTCCGCAGAGCTTTTAATAAAGAGCTCGTGTTTAGCATCTACCCCAGCTCCTCCCTGGGCTGCAACACCTCAGTGTGGGCTCATCCTTCCCCTTGCCAGACCCAGCTCTCCCTCCCAAGTTTGGTTCGTGCTGGATGAGACCCCAGCAGATATAAGCAAAGTGAGCCATGGACCACGTGGCAGCATCAGCAGGAGCCGGAGCTAGTGTCTGGGAATGAAGATTCAGATCTTTCTCAGCACTGGGCAGTCTGGAGGGGAATAAAATGACATCATTCAGCATAGCACAAGCCTGTTCTGTTAGGCACAAAAGATCAGTGTGGAGAAGTTCGGAGGGTATAATCCAGTGAAGGAAAAAAATCTGATACTCATCTGTGAACCAAGATTTGCTTTACATTTTTTTCCAAAACCCTGCAAGGATGTATGCTATAACAAACTGCTCCAGACAGTCTGCTCTTGCAAAAGTCCTTGCAAATACTTTGTCCCAGCCCTGAAACACAGGGGTTTTCCCAGCAGCTGTTTTAAACCCAGCTCATTTATTTTAACTGCTGGCTGACTGGCACCCCTTTCAGAACAGCCCATCTGGGCAATACGCAATCGCCCTGGCACAGGCTGTGTGAGCCAGGGCGGGCAGGACAGGCAGCACCAGAGCCCCACGTTCTCTGTGATGCTGCGGGCAGCAGCAAGCAAACTGCCAGCAAGGGAACGGCTCCGTCTGGTGCGGGCACGGGGGCAGTGGGCAAGGGGGCAGCTCAGGGAGGGCAGCTGGAAACAGGATGAAAACTGCAAGCTTTGGGATGGCAATAGGAGACAGGAGAGTTAGCAGGTGTGGAGCTGGCAGCTGGAGCTCGGAGAGAGGTAACTGCCCTAGAGCCCCTGAGAAGGAAAGAGGAGAGGGAAGCCCACGCAGGACTATTTATTTTGGCTGTTAATTTGCTGTCACAGAAGTGGAGCCGACCCCTAGAGCCAACGTGATGGAGGTGGTAGGGAGGAACCCAGGGGTGAGGCCAGGAACCCGTCTTCTGGCGCCAATATGGCCTTAGGTCATATTAAGCCAACTAAAACCTTATCCTAAAGCCCTTCACTGCAGCAGGAACCCTGACTGTTGTGGAGAGGGAAGAAAGCAGTTCCTTGGGTCCTAGCTCTGCAGTACGGTCTCTCAACCGCTCCTCTGTGCACTCACAAGCTCCAGCTGGTTTTATAAAGCACAGGACACATCCTGACAATTCTGTTCATCGCTTTCTTACACAATCTTCCTATGAAACTGCTGGTTATTTGGCTGGCAGAAATATCTACATGCTCTGTGCATCCTACTTTACACCAGAATTCCCAAATTTTTGTTTTCCTGCAAGTCTCACACCCTGGTAAGGGGTCACTCCCAGCCCACACAACTGATATGCCATGCAGGCATATACCCCGTAATACCCCATAACAATAATAAAAAATAATAAATATAAAAGAGCCACGGCCCTTTCCGTGTCCCAGTGCCACTAGATGGCACCAGGTGTGTACCCTTCACAGCCCAGGGTGTCCCCAGGGTCACGGGGAAACTGGGGGGACCCAGCCCAGCCCTTGGTGCAGACACTGGTGCCTCCTCTTCCATCCCACATGGACCATGGGGTGCTGGGGTAAAGACAGACATTTAAGCCTTAAAATCAAACCCTCAGTGATGCACTGGAGTGTTTCCTCATGGGGGAATTACCTGTGGTGGCTTTTGTCATGCTGCTGATCCCACGCACGCACCCATGCCCACCCCTGGGTCGGGCATCGCTCCCCAGATGGGTACTGGCAGAGTCCAAGGCTGGAGAGGAAAGCCTCAAATGTGGGTGCAAGTTATTCCGGTTAATATTGGGATCAATGTACGGGTTTCCCAGCATTGACAGGCTCCTCTTGGGAGGGGGGAGAAAAGGGAATAAAACACAATTTACTACATCATTTTGCAATCAGCAAGTGGCTTGCCCTCTCTGAGGTCTCATGGTTTTAGGGATGGATTCTCCTCGTGCACATTTGCTATCTAGCAGAGCTCAGCATGTCCCAAACCCTCAGTATTACCTGTTTTTTCACCATCAAGCCTTCCATTCAGTCACACATCCTTAGCAAAGCCATTAAGTAAACCGAGGAAGCACAGGTGGCACCTCAGCAAAAGTCAGGTCTTTCCTCAGACCTTGCAGCATAATTAAGGAGCGTTTTCTTTTCCACAGTCTTCAGCGTCAAGTACTGAAGGTGACCCTCGGAGACAGGAGCTCAAATGATGGGGTTGGCTGGCAAGGCTCTGCCACACGCAGCACTTCAAAGTGGCCAGCCAAACCCCAGCCCCAAGCAGTGTGGAGGACATGGGTGACAAATTGTTGCTCACCACACAACCCACTGGGCCAGTGCAGAGCCACAGAGGTGACGGATGGCGAGCAGCTCCCAAAAAAGCCAGAACATCAAACCAGCAGGAGCCACATGTCACTCCTTGCTGCCCATGTTCCTGGGGCTGGCATGTCCGGGTGATGAGTGAGCATGGCAGTGGCATGACCCTGGTGCCAAGGGAATCCCTGTGAAACCTCAGGTGCAGAGGGAGTGGGACAGGGTCTTTGTGCAGGGAGCCTCTTCAGTGTTGAGCTCCGAGCGATGCTGTCCTGCTCATGGCGATGGAGCCGCTGGACACGAGGGCAAATGAGAGATGCTCAGCACGGCCCCGCGGTGGCCCTGGCAGGCTGACAGCAAAGGCAGTGCTGCTCCTGCCCACATCCCGAGGCCATGAGATAATCCTGCAGAAGGATCCTGAGTGTGACCCTGCTTCCCAGCCCTCCACAGAGTGCAGCACAAATCCCACCCAAGCGCTTTAACCCCAGCCTAGGGTGAAGGCTAGAAAGGAGGAGGCTGGGTCACTTGGCAAGGTCAGGGCACACAGCAAAAGGGGTTAAAATCCCCCCAAATAAGGGAAATCCCTCATCCCCTTCCCCACAGCCTCCCTTCCCCTCCCTGATCACCTCAGAGAGCCCCAGGGAGCGACCCAGCGTCCCCCCTGCTGCCGCCTTCCCTCCCGGGGAGCCACCAGGAGCCTCCCCACACACCATCTGTTCTCCCCAGGCGACTCGCGGGTGGCCAAGGACATCCCTCCCACACCATCTGCCTCCACGCCAGGCGGCATCTCCCCATCACCCCCCTATGCCCACCCCAGCCAACATCCCTGGGCCGCCCGGCTCTGGAAAACCTCATGTGTGCCGCCAGCCCTAAACCACATGGACAAAGTCTTTATTTGCCCTCTCCATGACTGGATGCTACACACAGGGTGCAGAAACTTGCTGGTAAGAAACCTCATCGAAAGCAGTGCTTCTCCGCCCAGAACAGAACACACAGAACAGAAGGTGCTGCCTGTCCCCAGCCCACCCAGCGAGGACAGGCACAGCGGCAGCCATGATGGCGCGGGGCTTGTCCTCAGCCAGCTCATCCGCAGGGTCGATGGTGGCAAGCCCGGCATCCCCCACGGCTCCCAGACACTGCGTGCAAGCAGAATATACCCTCGTCTGACTGCGAATGTCAAATGGCAGAGACGTACATAGACATCGACATGTACGTGGCAGGAGCCGTCCACATGCTGTGGGATTATTTTTAGCCCAACCGTGATCGAAATGTCAGAGGGGTTTTTATTTATTTTCTCTGGAAGGCTTGTTGCTTGAAATCCCCATCGGCAGAGGATGACTCTGACCCTGCTGTCGCAGTCGGGTCTGTCATCCTTTCCCGCCCTTGAAAAAAACGTGCAATTAGGCGGGAGGGGAGGATGACTGGCCCAGCACGCCCAGCAGGCCTGGCACCCTTTGGAGGGCAGGCGTCCACCCAGCCCCACAGCCCAACCCGCGTCCACCCGGCCAGGCTGCAGCTCCGCCAGCTCTTCCAGCCTCCCCACATCCCAGGAAAAGTCTCACTGAAGCTGCAATGGACAGCTATAAAGTGCAAGGGACACAGGAGTTGGGCCTTTGAAGCAGACATGCAGTCAGGAAGGGCAGGCAGGCCACGGGACGCTCTCGCTGCCCGTTAATGATGTGAGGAGCGTATCGATGGCGAGGTCTCAGGGTGCCCCAAAAGCCCACAGAGGACTCCCTGCCGACGGAGCAGCCTGTTCTTTCCCGCTTCTCTGCCACTCACCCCACGCTCAGCGCTGTGCCAGGAGCAAAGCTCATGACAGTTATAAACCTGCCCCGGCTCCTGTCAAGCTCACAGGACCCCGTCCACAGACAAGCTGCCTCTGAGCCAAGACACCCGCGTCCCTGGGGTGACGGCACGGCACTGCAGAGGGTGGCAGCACCCACCTGAGTCTGCGCTTTCCCAGGGCCTGACATGTCCCCTGCCTCGCACATTGATGGGTTATGCACAAATTTGCCCCTTTTCTTGTTAGGGAAGCAGATTTGAGGGGGAATGGCTGCTCAGAAAAGCACTGGCACGTCTGAGGTAGCAGAGCTTTTTTGCTTGTTTACACGGCCAGAGAGGAGCGGTAATGGCCTATATTAACACAATAGCAAAGGAAGGCCTTGAACCAAATCCAGCTTGGAGGTTGTGACCAGTCCATAGATAACTGGGAAGAAAAGTCAGTGTTTTCCTGGTGGAACTGCCTATTTACATCTGAAAACAGCACAGACCTTGCCTGGAGGCTGGGACAAACAGCTCCTTTCACTGCCTGCTTCCCATGAGGCTTTCCCTCCCTCTCCAAGAGGAAATTTCCAGTAACTGAGGTATAAAAATGAATGCAAGACTTTGCTCCAGAGTCAGCTGTAAAAATCATACAGGAAGAGCTTCCCATCCCACAGCCAGCACCATGGCAGGTTGCCCCCAAAGCAGGTCACAGTCTTCTTGTGTGGGGAGCAAGGGAAGAGGCAGCTCTGCCTGCACCCCTCCTGGTGCAGGTCAGGCTTCAGGGGGTTGATCCATGTGCCCAAACCCGCAGGCACCGCTAGCACCATGAGCTAGGCAGGATTCCCTAACGGAGGGTCCTGGGTCCCTGGGGAAGGTTGCGATGCCATGTCATCTACTAGGACACCATGTGGTGCAGCAGTCCCTGGTTTCATGTGAGATTGTATGAAAGGAGGGATGGAAACAGAGAAATTTGGTGAGGGGGAACCTTCCTCCTCCTCCACACACCACCATGCCACATCCTGGGAATAACCAGCAGGACTCAGCTAAGCGGCAATCTCTAGCAAACTTTGAAGGAATGTCTTTCTGCCATATCCCATTCATCTTCTGCCTGGACTTTGCATAGAAGATTAGGATTTGGGCCACGTGGTTTTCCTGCAAAAGTGCGGGAATTGCATCTTCCATAGCTGTCAGGCTTCTTTGTGCACCCGGCTGCAAGGGTCCCTGAGGCTTTCAAGGAGCTGAGATTGCAGATGCTGCCACATGGGAGCGAGACCTCATGTTTCTCACAGCAGGCCTGAGGGAAAGCAAGATAAAAGCTGGGTAATTAAATAGCACTTGTCAGAACACATGCAAGAGTCAAACAGCAAAAACATCCCTCCTGTGCACAGACTCTTGCATGAAGCTGTATCAACATTTACCTGCTGAAAATCTCTAGTTCCTGGGCTGCTCTGGCTAACAATCCATGGGCCCACAGCCGTGGGCAGCATCCCTGCTGCTCCCTGCCCACTCTAGCCAAACCTGCTCACTCCTCTTCTGGGAGGTGTCGTGGTTTAACCCCAGCCGGTAACTAAGCACCACACAGCTGCTCACTCAATCCCCCCCCACCCAGTGGGATGGGGGAGACAATTGGGGAAAAAAAAGGTAAAACTCATGAGTTGAGATAAAAACAGTTTAATGGAACAGAAAGGAAGAAACTAATAATGATAATCATAATAATAAAATGACAATACTAATAAAAGGATTGGAATATACAAAATAAGTGATGCACAATGCAGTTGCTCACCACTTGCTGACCGATGCCCAGTTAGTTCCTGAGCAGTGATCCCCCCCGGCCAACTCCCCCCAGTTTATATGCTGGGCATGACAGTGCATGGTATGGAATACCCCTTTGGCAGGTTTGGGTCAGCTGTCCTGGCTGTGTCCCCTCCCAACTTCTTGTGCCCCTCCAGCCTTCTTGCTGGCTGGCATGAGAAGCTGAAAAATCCTTGACTTAGTATAAATACGACTTAGGAACAACTGAAAACATCAGTGTGTTATCAACATTCTTCTCATACTGAACCCAAAACATAACACTATACCAGCTACTAGGAAGAAAATTAACTCTCTCCCAGCCAAAAGCAGGACAGGAGGACATTTCATGCTAACATGTCTGCATACAGAAAGGACAAACATGCAAAACTATTTTGCTCCTGGCTGGAAGAAAGCAGATGATTCCCAATGTACCTGCAGGTCACACCCCCAAGAGTGGCAGCAAAATTGCAGGGCTGGGATGGAAGGAGGAAGGTGGCCTTCCTTTAAGCACATCCCATAACTGATTTCACCATTACTGCTACCCTTGAGCTTGGGCGAGGCTACCAACCTGTGCTACACACGTGCTTCCACTGCACTGCAGACTCAGCCAGGTCTTCTGGGATTTGGGAGCCCATTTACCGAGGGGATTTCAGCAAATAGGAGATTAAGTGACTTACAGTGTTTTTAAAACATGTTCCTGAATATCTTTTCTAAGGTGAAGGTGATGCCATGGGTAATTTCTTTAAAGGAGAGTATAAAAGTGGGTGGCTGATAGCCAGTTCATTACATCAGTATATCAGTTCTCATTAGGATGGGAAATCTTGTGTACTTATTAATTGTTTCTCTAATTGCTTTCTCTCCCTGCTACCAGGGTAACCCGCTGTCTGCTTGTGCCTGGAGGCCCAGGTCAGGGCCCTGCGTAACTCATCCCTGATCTGCGAACATGGGGAACTATAAATAAATGGTGACACTGGAGAGCGGAGGAGGAGGTAGAAGGGGACTGTGCTACTCAACCTGAGATACTCAGGCTAGTCAGCTTATCCAACAGAAGGTGACTGGTGGTAACCTGTAAATATTAACCGAGGGGGACTATTTCTGATAGCCGAGGGCTCTGGCCTGGCAAAGATAAAACAAAATTCTCTGAGCTGGAGCTGGACAAATTTGGACCTGAAAGAAGTTGCAGATTACTTAAATTGAAGCAAACAGCTGCACATTCTCCACTAAGAAGTATTTTGAAACCATGAGGACCTGCTTAGTTTCAAGATCTGCTGCAGCTTCCCACCCCCCCCCCC